GAGTGTGTATATGTGCATGTATGTGTGTTGTCCATGGGGTCTGGAGCGTGTTAAAATATTAGACAGCCAGATTGCGATTCGTAGCTAGTAGTTGCACACTCTTTGGGCCAAGTTATGTAAGCTTATTTGATGTTTCGTTTCCTTCAATATGTCAATGTAAATCGATGAACTTTTTGTCACCTGAGTTATTTGTTGTTTACAAAATTCTTCATCGTTGAACAAAATTCCTGTTTTCATTGAGTAATTTTTTCTTTTGCTGAAATTGTTAACTAAATAATAAATATGTTTCAATTTTAGAATTTACTTCAAGTAAGTTTCTAGTTTATTTTTGTGTAGTCACCAAATAAACATGAATGTTTTAAAATGTAGTACTATAAGAATTGTTGCCAAAAGCTCTTTGAAAACTATTCACTTTTACTAAGAACTTAGCTTCTTCCACATTTAAGTTCTTAAGTTTAACTTTATAATTGAATAATAGTTTTTGATATGATAACATTCTCAATTTCCTGAAGATATATTTTCAAAATGGTTTTCTCGTAAAGTGTTGTCTTTATATATACCACATCTAAAGGGTTATACGTGTGTATTCGCGGGCACACTACTCTTTCTACTACTTACGCAAATTAATCCCCAACAGCTTTTTAACACCCACAAGATAACAACATTAACTTCATCCCTAGCCACTACTACCCCATTGCATGCGCCGAACGAAACCAGCACCAAACAGGGAACTCTCTGACTTCAGCTTGCTTTTCATCCCCAACAAACCAAAAACAATTGTGCTTTTTGGCTTATTGGGGCGTGGGGCGGGGGGTGGTAAACAAAAGGGTCGATTTTCCCCAATTAGAGCACCCTACACCCGGGGCCCGACAGGCGAACCCTCCCTAAAATGCGCTTAACGCTTTCATGTTACGCATAATTGAAACCCACTTCCTATTCAGTGGGCACAACTACGCAACATGCTAACAGCAACTCCAGCGGCGAGCCCTAACGTTGACGTCAACGTCAACGTGAACGCCAACGTCGACGTCAATTGCAAAAACAACCACCAAACAACTTTGGATTTGGCTTTGACTGCTTGGCTCTCAACCTCCCCCCCAGTAAGTGTGGCTGTTCAGTTAGTGCCGGCCGGGTCTCTTTTGGCCCAAAAAGCGGCAGCATGTCAATGTCATGAATATTATTGACATGGATTTACCACAATGGGGGAACGACGACGATGATGACGACCACGTCGCCATTTTGTTAGGCAACGGCATTTTCGCGTTTTTTACACCCTCCACACAAAAATAAATGGGAAAAGCGCCCACGCGCGCTAGCTGAAAAAAAAAAACAAAAGAAAAAGAAAAACTGTGTGCTGTGTGAAGGTCAACCCCTTTTGTCTAACAGGAGTTATGCGGCAAGTTGAAGTTGTTTTTTTCATTCTATTTCTTTTTCTTTTCTTTTTTTTTCGTGGCCTGTCAAAGTCATAAGCATTTTGTGCTGATAAAAATCGATAAGCGGTGGCAGACAAGTCAGCCCGTAGCTCAGGGGCAACCGTCGCCCAACCCCGTTGCACATTTCTTGCTCAGACTTTGGATACTCGGTCAGCAGCAACTTCAACTTTAGAACCCCCTGCCCCCTGCCCCACACAATACGGCTTTGGAATGCCGTTTTGACTTATTCTTTTTTTTTTTTTTTTAATTTTATTTCTGTTTTTTTCAGGGGCTTGTCAAATTGCTACAAATCTCTTGGCATGCTGCTGCTGCTGTCTGCGGCAGTTGGTGCCTGTTGCAATATGTCATGGTTAAAAACTGCTATCGATGCTAATTGCTATGCATTTTTCAATGGTGGGCTGCTACCATAATACATACACCCGTATTTAATAAGCGTAATTAGATCATGACTGAGGCATGCAACTCTTGACAGCCAGAATCGATAGGTAGCCCCAATGGGGGCGTTTACCTCTCAAAGGTGTGGAACTGTGTTTTGCTGTTTTATTTTTTGTGTGTTTGGTTATTTGAATAGCTGGTAATTGTCGTAGAAATTTGCACAGCTTAAAATTGTTTAAACTGAATGTTGCTGCTTATACTGATATGAATACATAGTTATAGATAGATGTAGATAGCATTTAGGTACGCTTAGTTACGCTAATAATATCACGTAAATTTTTATTAAAAAAATCAACTTTGTTGTATTATAAATGTAATTTAATTGTAACAGCTGCTGTTACACTTTGCAATCAAGTTTATATTTTTGTTGGCATTGCTTTCTTGTCTTCCATGAGGAAAAACTACTTTTGCGAATATGAATAAGTGTCACAATGGAAAGATATTTACACTTTAGCTATATAAAAAACCAATTTATTTTTGCCTTTTTTTTTTTTTACTCTGCCAAACTGCTTTCACTGTCTTGTGAAATATAAGCTAATGTTTGCATTTCGTGGTACAATCTTTAGCTACACATTATCATTTACTAAATGTATGCAAGTAAATATATGCAATGTATTACAATTTGTATCTAACGATTAACACTTTCTGATCATAAGGCTAATCCCGAATGATGTAGCTAAATGTTTATAAACCGTTAAGCAAAACACTTCCGCCTAATCGGCAAGGTACAGTTCTATCAGAGAGCATATAAATTGTATAGGTTTGTATGTCTGTCTGTCTGTACTTACAACCAGAAACAAGCCGTCATCAAATCGCTTGGCTGCATTTGTCGGCTCCCAACTACATTTATACATACATATACATATATGTATATGTATGCATGTGCGAGTAGATTTCCCTAACAAATACGAAACGGCTGACCACTTCATGCTCTTCCTGCTCCACGTCTCTCTCTCTCCGTTTCTCTCTCTTGTTGTCATACTGCTTTCAACGCTCTCTGCTTGGTCAGCATTTTGTTTGTGTTCGCTCTCAGTGTGACCTCTCGGCACCCACACAACTTTAACAACGAGAATTATTCTTGATTGCTTTGCTCGCCGCGCAACTCACCGAGTGACGCTCTTGATATCAAAATTTTTGTTTATTTTCTTTTGTGCTACACACACAACACACATACATTCACACACACACACAACACACCCCCGTCTGTTTCTGTTGCTGCCTTTGACTGTGTTTTTTGTGTTCTTTACTTCGTCGCATGCTTTGCGTTCTCCTCCGCTCTTCGCGACGTCTACTCACCCGCACCAGTACTGCTCGTTCGCTCGCGCATGTGTTGCTTTGTTTGTGTGAATGTTTGTGTGTATGTGTGTGTGTGTGAGCACTGTGGCTGCCTGCTTCGTTTTCGCTGTTGTCGTCGTCGTCGTCGTCGTTGATGTCGCTGCGTCTTCTTCGTGGTTGCTTCGTCGTCTCTCGTTGTTGTTGTATACAAGGTCGTTTGCGTACAAATTTCAACATTATTTGAAGGTCGTCCTTTGCCCATTCTACGCTTGCTGGCTCTCTCTCGCTCTCTCTCTCTCTCTCTTGCTCTTTCTGTCGCTTGCGTGCGCTCTCAGTTCAGATGCCGGTTGGCGTCTTGGCCGCTTCGTTTTGGGTTGTTGTACCGGCTAAACAAAAGATGTCCATTAGAGGTCGACGTCGTCGTCAGCAGCTACATTTAATTTACTGCAATGAGCGTTTGCACTTAACCGCACAGCCAATAAGTGAAAACCATTTGCCATTGTCCACTATCTACCCCCGTCACCCTCCCTCAGCCAAATGGCACTGCCCAGTCGCGCCCTTATCATAATGAAAACGATACAACAAACAATTTTCAGCTGCCGGCTGGCTTTGGCTGGGTTAATGTACCTTTAATTTATTATAATATTCCAATCGGCTTTTGCGCCTCTTTCGCTTTCGGGTCGTTGACATTTTTCGTTTTTCGTTGTTGTTGTCGGCTCTATTGTATTGTATTGTTTGGCTTGTTGCTTTCAGCTATTCATTCGTGTGCGCATCGCTGATAACAACAAAATCATCTCTCATCTTTCTCTGGACAGCGTGTGTGTGTGTGAGTGTGCGTGTGTGTGCGTGCGTGTGCGTGTCTGTAGAACACATGTCGTGGACCCAATTAGCATAACTCGCCTCGTCTCCCGTGCCACGAGTGTCATCTGCAGAGGCCAAGGTCGTTGGCTTGGCGGATGAGGTTGAGGTGGGGCTGAAATCATGCATAGTTGATTATCTGTTTAGTTGTTTAGTTGTTGCTAGGCTTTGACCAATCATCATTCGCATAGTAACGAAATTATATATTTAAGCTGCGTAATCATTTAAAAATAGTTGAAGAAGAACTATGCACGATTTCAGCAACATGTCCGACAATTGTCCAATCCAATCCAAACAACTTATACTTTATGTATTGAATGGATTCATTTTACTACTCAATATATAAATATATATATACTTCAATATTGTTTTTTTTTAAATTGCATATTCTTTGTTAGCTCTTTAAAAATTTAAAATTTTGTATTCTTTAGTCTTGAATGTTTTCGATAATACAATAAATTTTATTTATTTATGCCCAAATGTTATTGATTTGAATTTATAGTGTGTTTTTTTATTATTGAAATTTAGTTTTTAAAATGTTCTTAAACTATTGATCATAAATGTTCATTTTTATGACCAATAACCATTAAAATAATAAAATTATTTCGAATAGAGACTGAAAAGCGACACACTAAAATCCAAAACACGAAACTTTTATGGAAAAGAACTGAGACTCATTTATTTATATTTATGTTACGCATTCACGCAGCAAGTCTCTGAATTCTCGAAAATCACATAGAAATACGTTATCAAAAAAAGGGAGAAAGTTCTTGGCTATTTTCATTGTTTCAATCTTCGAAATCTTAGCATTTTTACTCACTTTCTGTGAATACATTCGTAATGTTTAAGGACTTAAAATATCTCTTATTTAATTTTTTCATTTTAAATATTTAATCAATTTATTTTATAATCAATTTATATAAATAAGTCATTTCTTGCATTGCCCAAATATATATTAATCTAATTATTTTGTGTTATTTTTTATTTTTTTTTTTACAGATTTACAACACAATGGAACTGCATCAACGACATCTTTCCAATTTCTACAAATTGCACAAATAAATTAGTTAAAAATCGTATAGCGTTTAATTGCACAATAATTGCAAGTTTCAACATCCACCACACACTCACACACACACAGAAACACACTCAGTTTCCGCAAGGATGCCAAATATGTCGAGCATTAAGACGGAGCAGAGTGTTTCACCCGGTGCCAGTGGCAGCTATCAGCTGCCCGTTAACATGTCGACGGCGACAGTGACGCCAGCGTCGCACCAGCACCAGCAGCAGCAGCGCCACAATGTCTCCGTGACGAATATCAAATGTGAACTGGACGAGCTGGCGACGCCAACGAATGGCAACCTGGTGCCGGTCATAGCCAACTATAATAATCATAATCACAATCATAATCACAATCACAGCGGCAGCTTGAGTATTCCACTCGGCGGCAATGGGGATGAGTCCGATTCGGATGCGGAGCTGGCCAATATTGAGAATCTGAAGGTGCGACGACGTGCGTCAGACAAGAATGGTCCGCGTCCCATGTCCTGGGAGGGTGAGCTGAGCGAGAATGAAACGAATGGCGGCGGCGGCGGCGGCGTCGGTGACGAGGAGGAGCTCATGGAAACGGAAACGGTGATCAAGAGCGAGGTGAGCAGCAGCACCAGCACCAGCAGCAGCAGCAGTGCCACAACAATGGCCAGCAGTCAAGTGAACGCCATGTTGCAACCTATCAAAACCGAACTGGAGAACATAGCCGGCGAGATGCAACAGCAGCAGCAACAACAGCAGCAACAACAGCAGCAGCAGCAGCAGCAGCAACAACAGCAGCAACAGCAACAGCAGCAGCAACAACTCCAGCTGCAACAACAACAGCAACAACAATTGCTGCCACTGAAGCAACAGAGCTATGCACCGAACAATAAACTGAAATTGGCGCCGACGCAAAGTGATCCCATCAATTTGAAATATGAGCCAACGACAACGACAACATCATCGCTGCTCTGCGACAGGAGCAAGTCGAATAGTGGCGGCCATTTGCCACTGCTGCCCGCCAATCCCAGTCCCGATTCTGCCATACATTCCGTCTATACGCACAGCAGCCCCTCCCAGTCGCCGCTGACGTCCCGCCACGCCCCCTATACGCCCTCGCTGAGCAGGAATAACAGCGATGCGTCGCACAGCAGCTGTTACAGCTACAGCTCCGAATTCAGTCCCACCCACTCACCCATTCAGGCGCGCCATGCGCCACTCGCTGGCGTCGCTGCCCTGTTCACGGGCAATGGAAATGGCGGTGCACTGCATCATCATAGTGTGCTCTATCGGCCACTCAATGTGGATGCCGCACAGGAGGCACAAAATCTGAGCATGGATGCGGGTGGTGCTGCATTGGATGCCAGTGCCACGTTGGCTGCGTCGCCGGCGGGCATCTCACGTCAGCAACTGATCAATTCGCCGTGTCCGATTTGTGGGGATAAGATCAGTGGCTTCCACTATGGCATCTTCTCGTGCGAGTCGTGCAAGGGCTTCTTCAAGCGCACCGTCCAGAATCGCAAGAACTATGTGTGTGTGCGAGGCGGGCCCTGCCAGGTGAGCATCTCGACGCGCAAAAAGTGCCCCGCCTGCCGTTTCGAGAAGTGCCTGCAGAAGGGCATGAAATTGGAGGCGATACGCGAGGATCGCACCCGTGGCGGTCGCTCCACCTATCAGTGCTCCTATACGCTGCCCAATTCGATGCTCAGTCCGCTGCTCAGTCCCGATCAGGCGGCAGCCGCTGCAGCCGCCGCCGCCGTTGTCAATCAACAGCAGCAGCAGCAGCATCAACATCAGCATCAGCAGCAACATCAGCAACACCAACAGCAGCGACTTCAACATCATCAGCAGCAGCAACAGCAACAACAACAGCAACAGCAGCAGCAACAGCAGCAACAACATGGTCCACTCAATGGCTTTGGTGGTGGTGGCTCCAATTCGTTGCCAGCGAGTCCCAGTCTCGGCGGGGCATCCATCAAGACGGAGCAATCGGAACAGCTAAATCATCATACGTCATCATCAACGCGAGCCTCAAGCATTCCAGCCCTGCTGCAGGTAAGCAATGATTCAGTTTGGTGTTTGAAATTGATAATCAAGTAATTGTTGACTTCTAGGAAATCATGGATGTTGAACATCTCTGGCAATATACCGATGCGGAATTGGCACGCATTAATCAGCCGCTGTCCTCATTTGCAACGGGTGGCTCATCGTCGAGCGGCACAGGCGGTTCAAGCTCCGCCGGACAGCATACGGGCAATGCACAACAGATGACCAATCCACTGCTGGCCAGTGCTGGTCTCTCATCCAACGGCGAGAACGCCAATCCCGATCTGATTGCACACCTCTGCAACGTGGCCGATCATCGCCTCTACAAGATCGTCAAATGGTGCAAAAGTTTGCCGCTCTTCAAGAACATCTCGGTACCTATCCACCTATATCCATATTATATATATATATATACATAAACTCTCTGCTCATATTTATCTTTATCTTTATTTTCTGCTACAATAGATTGACGATCAGATCTGCCTGCTCATCAACTCGTGGTGTGAACTGTTGCTCTTCTCCTGCTGTTTTCGTTCCGTCGACACGCCCGGCGAGATCAAGATGTCGCAGGGCAGAAAGATTACGCTGGCACAGGCTAAAACCAATGGCTTGCAGGTTAGATGTGCAAAATGTTTACAATAATGTTTGCAGTAATTCAACACTTGTAACTAGTGAGTTTAGTTGGGATCATTTAGTAACCACAAAAGTTGCTCAATGATAGCAAAGAGAGCCAAACAGACATCGACATCCGATAGACGGACATGACTATATAGATGACTATATATACATTATTATATATATATATATCATATACTGATTGTAAGCTGCTTTTGGTTATATTTAACTATTGCAATTGAGGCAACTAAGACATTGAAATCCTGGATCTAGTTCTTGGGTGTTAGTCGTGCAGTTTCCCCTTAATTCTTTGTTTATTCTTGTTACCCATAAAATATAACAATTAACTATTTTATTTGTATACTTGATAGGCGTGCATTGAGCGCATGTTGAATCTGACCGATCATTTGCGTCGCCTGCGCGTTGATCGCTACGAATATGTTGCCATGAAGGTAATCGTGCTGCTGCAGTCCGGTAAGTTGTTCGCAACAGCAACAAATTGAACATTCCTTATTGAGTGAGTAACATGGCCAATTATTATTATTAATCGTTGCAGACACAACGGAACTGCACGAGGCAGTCAAGGTGCGCGAGTGCCAGGAGAAGGCGCTGCAGGGTTTGCAGGCCTACACGCTGGCCCATTATCCCGATACGCCGTCCAAGTTTGGTGAGCTGCTCCTGCGCATACCCGATCTGCAGCGCACGTGTCAGGTGAGTGTGTGTGTGTGGCAAATTCTAGCTGTCAGCTTTATCTAACTTTATCTATCTACCCCCATCATTATGCAGCTGGGCAAGGAGATGCTGACGATCAAAACGCGCGATGGAGCAGATTTTAATTTGCTAATGGAACTGCTGCGCGGAGAACATTGACAAATGTTGTGGGCCATGAAATTCTGTCGCCGTAGCCGCAGCCGTAGCCGCAGCCGTAGCCGCAGCCGTAGCCGGGGTTAAGGCGGCGCATACACAAGTTTTATATGATTAGTATTAGTATATCTATGCGTAGTGTTAAGTGCTCTATGTGTAAGCTCTGTAAACATGTGCCTAAAAAATGAACCCACAGCCAAAACAGCAACAACAACGGGCAGCTACAATAACAACAACAATAACAACAGCAAGACAAGAACAATAACAGCAAACAGCAAGCAGCAAGCAGCGGCAGCGGCAGGCAGCATTAACGAAACTCGAGAACAAAACTGATAGCACTTAATATTAAAAGGAGGAAACGAAACGGGAGAATTAATTTCAAGCGTGAAATTGCCAAATTTTTTATACAAAAATAAATAAATATAAATAAATGTACATATATATTTGTATGTATGTATGTATTTTGTCCAAATATGTTTGTTTGCTGTGTGTGCAGCATTCGTTGTTGTTGTTGTGCGGCTTGAGTTTATTAAATTATATAAAGTTTTTTGCTATGTATACATATACATATGAATTATGTATAGTAACTAAAGCACACATGGAAAATGAAAAGACTAAGAAATTTATTTAACTATATTATATTAAAATGCAAATCAAATTATAATTTTTAGTTCAAGTAATCAAACAAAATCAAACACAAAAAAAAAAACAGAAAACAAAAACAAAAAGAAATGTAGCAGCAAGTGTTTTTTATATGCATATATATATAAATATCAGAAAACAAAAAAAAAAAAGCAAAAACAACTGAAAGATCGAAGTAAAGCAGAAACATTTAAGAATATTTTTAAATAAAATGCCAAAACCGAAATTGGTTTAAATGAGAGCTGCTAGAATTTTCTACCTACATATATATATATATATAATACGTGAATCCATTTTTAAATGTTGTAGCATTTAGTTTTAGTGCAATTTCACACATGTCTACTTATATATCGAGATATATATATATATATATGTATGTATGTATGTATGTATGTATGTATGTATGTATGTATGTATACATATATAGAGCGCCTTAAATGGCGGCGAGCAAAAACAAAACTATACAAGAAAAAAGACCACTCGATTAAATTGCCGCCTCTTTGTGGCAGGGCGTGGCAAAAACTATTCCAGTGATGCTATTTGTTGCATAAAAAACATAAACAAAAACAAAAGAAAAACAAAAACACAAACAAAAAACAAAAAACAAACTACATAAATCAAATTTATACTTTTGTCATAAAAACCATATATGAATATTGGTATCTGTATTCGTATTTGAATTGTATTTTGTATTTTTTAATTAATGTTTTAATATTATATATATATAATATATATATATTTATACGCATATATACCAATGTATATATGTGTGTATATATATATTTCTTGTTTTATTGTAATTCTACTTAATAGCTGAAGCAAATCCTGTAACAGGATTTAAAACATTTAAATTACATACATTTATATTTTTTTGTCAATGCATAAAACAAACTTAGATTTACATAGTCTGCATATATATATATATATATATATTTATATATATATGTATAATGTCTATATGTGTGTGTATGTCAACTATAAAAGATCAAGCCCCACCAGCAAAAAACAAACGAAACAATGTGTAATTCCAATAATTTAAACAAAAATCACAAACAAAATGAAAAAACAGAAAACCATACAAAATATGCTCAGACAGTTAACCGGCAGAAATATGAATGGGTGTTGTTTGCATTATTCATAACACTTGTATTACCTGTGATTTCAGAAGGGTCATTAAAAAGTGTAATTAAAAGACTAAAATATGAGATTAAGTATCTTATGCCACAGTTTATACATCCAATATTCAAATCGCTCACATTTAGAGAGACAGATAGAGAGATCTTCTCATATTTGTATTTGTGCATTAAATTTGACAGCATTAATTAATTTCATTCGGTTGCTGCCTGGCCCCGTGGAGTACCGTTAATCGTAAACCTAAAGTAAATGCAAATAGAAAAAATGTTAATTTAATGAATGGTCTAACTAAATATCAATATACAATACCATAGTTAAATGCAATTGTAAAATGAAATAATGATAATCAAAATTAACTTATAGTTTTTCTACATCAATCGAAAATTGTAGCAGCTTAAAGCCACAAAAACAAAACAAACAAAAAAAAAACAAACTCATAAATCCCCCAACTTGAAACACTTTTGCAGACAGTGCTAATATTTTACTATTTAAGTAATTCGCTTAAATAGTTAAAGTTGCGCTACAAAATTAAGCTTTTTTAAATTCAAAATCGTTGTTAAAATCGAGTTAATTGTTCAGTTTAAATAACACTTGCGTTATTTTTTCGTGTGCTTAGTGCTACTTTTTTCATCTACTCATCCATAGTAAATATTTAATTTCATTTTTTTTATAATTTTAATAATTGAAATTATAAATGGAACAACAATTAAACCATTAATTGTCGATGCAATATTTTGTAATAAATATTTTTTCAAAAAAACAAAAAAACTACATATACAAAAAAAAAAGAAGTTTTATTTTTCCATGTTGTGAAAATGGTGAAAGTGCAACAAAATTGACAGACTTTAAATATTAAAATTGACAACATAAATAGTGAATCTGCATAGCTGTTTCCGGCCTGGAGTCGTTAGGTCGTAAAAAAAATGATGCAAGCACTGTGAAAAGAAAAACAAAAGCTATTTCTCTTTTTGATTAATTTTCCTGCCAGTTTTCATCGTACTGCATTTATATGTCTCTCAAATATTCAGTCACCCACCCATAAGGAATTTGTTTGCCAAAAAGCTGAATTTATGACCCTGTGAAATAAAATTTCGATTTGAGTGTGTGCCAGAAACCTGCAATGTTGCTGGAGCAGAGGTGTCCAAAATATGCTCCCAATTCGATAAAGTTATGTAAATTTATACAGATGCAAATGCAATGCAAATGAACCGATGCAATGATGAACAATGTTCCATATACAAAAGTATCTACAGAATTCACAAAACACACAACTATTTTCAAGATGACATTCAGTTTTTGTTAACTAAATTCCGTTCTTATAATGTTACTTGCCCAATACACAGTTTGTATGAAGCTTCTAATTTATTATAAAGTTTATTCCAATTTTAATTTCAACTAATCGTCAACCAGTGGAAACGTTATCCTTTTATCCTTTATATTTTATACAGGTGCAAGCTGCAAATATAATGTTTCTATTGTGATAGCTGGCATTGGCATAGTTCAGTTTTGTGTACTTACAGGACTATTGAATCACAGCTGGTTGCAGCCTGAAGGCATTTCGTATGAAGCGGTATTCGGAGCTGGAAACGGTGCGGCACCGTGGCAAGTTGCGGGACTGGGTGGGCAACAGTAAGTGGTCGGCAGCGACATGTAATTGGCTGGACAAGGCGTACCATAGACACAACCAGCCGGTGGCAACATGCAGCTGCCACCCGAAGAACAGGGCTGGACATTGTAGCTGGAAATCGTTAGAAAAAAACGTCAAGTGTTAACTTTTGGATGAATTTCGGAATTTAATTCCATTAAATAGTTAAATAGTATCTCAAATTGATAGCTCTCTAAACTGCAATTCAGCTTAAATTGAGAGTTTATTACAGGATTTATTACAGCATTCAAGCGTGCCCCATTTTGCTTCAATTTAGAAAAGTAGAAAAGTTTTCCATTTAAAGAATGGAAGCTGTTGACACAACAACTAAAAGGGAAAAATGTAGGTAAATTGTGGCAAGCCTGATTCCTTAAGAATTTTCAATTTTATTGTTTTTAATTCCATTATTAGTTGTCCTATGATCTATACTTACCACATTGGTGGCATATAGATGCCGCCTGAATTGAAGCTGCCAAAGTCAGCTGGGTATGTGCCACAGTTATTGGAGTCATTGAAGCTGCCCCAGCTGCCGGAAGCTTGATAACTGGGAAAGTGATTGAGATTGTTGCCGGGTCTTGAAAACGGATTGAAATCGGTGCTGTAAACGGTTTGCGCTTGCAGCTTGTCATCGGCACCATAGATGGTGTTCTTGGGGGGACCATAGCTGGGCGAGTAGTTGGAATAGTAGCCAGCACTGTAGGGATCACAGCTGGGTGGATAACTGGGACCACAACTGGGACCATAATTCATATTCATGCCCATGCCGGGCGGCGACGAAGGAGCTGTCTGGTAATTGGGAAAACAATCAGGCTGCGTTGATCGCAAATTTTGGATAAAGTGTTCCCCATGCACGCAGTTGCTGGGAAAATAGGAATAATAAGGCATCTGCTGGCAGGAGGATGTGCAGCATTCTGTAAAAGGAAACGGTCTGGATGAGGGAGAACGTGGATCACTTGGGTATCCGCAATTATTGATGCAGGATGGCATTCCAGCTGCGTTTATTGGGCAACTGGTTTGCTCGGTGTTTTGGCCACAGTTACGGTATTCCAGAAAGCTGGCTGAAAGGAAATAAATACAGTATTTGAGGTGCACCAACGAACTGATCAAACAAACTGGATCTAAGATAATCATGGACCTGGTTAGTTCATCGAGCTCTTTTACGGAAATTTCCCGGCTTTGTTGAACTTGTCTTGGACTTACCTTCGCGAGGCATTCTCTGAGCCACTTGACATTGGTGAATAGCTGTCGTCTCCTGCATTCCGTAGTCATCGCTTTGAACTGCTGCTGCTGAGTCTTCTTGCATTTGACGAGCTCCAAGGTCGTAATCATTGTAATCTCTTGATGGACAGTTGCAAGAACAAGGAGTCGAACAAGGAGCACCAGGATTCACATCTGCACTGCTTTCGATGTAATAATTGTTCGGTTGGGACTGCAAATAGCCATCTGCACCCGACATCTGTGCCTCTTGTGGCATATACTCATAGTTGTTGACGTTTGTCAAAGACTGTGTCTGCATTTGTGACTGATGGAAATGGTCAGCACTCGTTGACTGGTCTAGATAAGAAACCCTTGGCATATCACAGCTATATTTATTCATTCCGGGATTCATTCCCATTTCCATTTCAGGTCCCATTTGCATTGTCATCTGCTGGCCATAGAACTCAGCACTGTTAGTTTCTCTTGCTCCGTATTTTGGTGCCATCAATTTTGAGTTGTTTTTTGATTGATCTGCATTACTTATACCGCAACAAACTATGAAAATAATATAATAATATGAGTAATAAGCATACACTTATAGACATATTAACAGAGACTACATTATATGCCTAAATATTCCAGTTGCTTACTCACATTGACAATCACAAGTTTCACAATCCCTGTACTCAAATTGTTGTTCATGTTTTTTTCCTGTTTGCCCAGAAGCAATTCGAAATGCAGAGCTGCAAGAACAATACACAAATTGCTTTTATCAATTATAGATAATATTATTCATTAACTTGCCAATGATGTTTTATTGGCTCTGGTATAACAGCTTCGTAGAATAGTTTAATTGAATTTGTGGAACTTCTGGCTGTATCTGGCTTATCTGTTTCAATCGAAGTTCTGACTAATTTATAGAACTGATTATTTTCCTGTGTCTCACCTTCTCTTAAGGTGGACGTACTTGAAGCATTTAACTCGGGCTCAAACGCTTTTGGCTTATAGGTCTCAGATATATCATCACAGTTCTCAATGTCAATTAAATTGTTTATACTCTCATCGCTGTTAATCGACATTCTAATCTTAGTTTTTGGCTCGACAGATTAACCTAATCTGTAGCTCTCTAAGTTACCCATAACAAGAGCAACTGAGTAAAAACTCTCAACAATTTTGGGTGGGAGTTGTCCAGCAGTTGCTTTAAATTTATTTGTCCTGTTTAAAAATGTTATAAACATTTCACATGCTTGCTTTGTTCTCAAAAATCCATTCGAATATTAACTAAAAATAAATAGAATTGTTTACATTTTATTTGATTTATTTTCCGCATTACATAATTTTATGCACTTTAAATATTTAATTAAAACAAATACAATTTACTAGTATATCTATTTAATATTGTGAATGTGTTGCGTAATTAAATATACACTTTTACTGCAGGTCATAAAATTGTCGTTTTATCCGCAGAGATGTGCTTTGAGATTCATTTCAACTTCTTTTGAGCTTAGCATAAACAGACAAAAATGTAATTTCCGTTTTGCCTGCTGTCAGAATTATGGGCGGATAGGGATGGAATGGCTGCAAATTTTTCTTAAAATTTCCTTACACAAAAAGAAAACTTGCCTACTTTAAGGTAAGGCATTGCAAAAAAAATGCGGCTTCTGCCTTCAGCTTCCCACGCCCACACATCCGCCCGCATGTCCTCACTCAACAACAACAACAACAACAACAACAACAGCAACACACAAACACTGTGTGAATTTCTTTTTAAGGTTTTTATTATACACTTGGAAAGAGTTTTATTATTTGATTACGTAGTATGCAACAAAATTGTAAGGCATATAATATTACACATATATAAATATATATATATATATATATATATATTTTTATTGTTTTTGATTAACATAAAAGTAACAATTGCTTGGAAATATTTTATTGTAGGATCTAAGGGCAATTTAACTTCGAACTCGTCGAACTCTTTGCCTTCAAAGATTTTACTGAACATCAAAATGTTTTTTTTTTTCTTATTTTTTTTTTTAACAAATTGTATACATTTTTGTAATAATTACATAAAATAATATATTATAATCGCTCATGTAGTCAATAAGGGTGTTTTAATTTCGGCAATCGTTTAAAAGTGTTCGAGTTCTTTTGAGCTTATTAATTGCCAGCAGGTGTCTGAGTAAGCCAAGCACTTTAATTGAATTTTCCGATTTTGAATGGTTGGAACCTTCTGGTCCGTAAAGGCAGCTAATTATTGTGCAATTGAAAACAAAAGCTGTTTAAATTCAAACCTTTTTCACACTTCATTAATTACATACATGCAACAGACAACTTGTATGTATAAAATATTAAGCATTTTCTACATTTGGAGCAGGAGCAAAGAAAGCTGAATAGGAAAAGGGAAAATCTAAGAAAAAAACAAAAAAAAAAAAATGAAAATAATTATAAAACCAGAAATTCATGTAATTGGTAGTCTTAATGGAAGTTTTAATTCCTTGCAACATTTTTTCTTAGTCGGCCTGTTTGCACCTGTCCAGCTGGACGCTTTGAAATTTCGTGTCCATTTTGCTTAATGCCACTTGCTTTTGTGGCACTTTAGATGGCAAACATTTGCTAACCAGCCCCAGAACCCGTCATTATTATCGTCAACAACTCGAAGAAATTTGCATGCCAGCGGCTAGTTTGGCGCTGCGATTGAAATGTTAAGTTGCATAAAAGATTGCTGAGCGGTTGATTGATTGATTGGTGCGTCGTCTGTGGCAAGCAGATGCAGGACGACTGCAAAATGGGAAGCTAAAAGACAGACAGAAAGAGAGAGAGAGTGAGAGAGAGGGAGAGATGGAGGAAATTAATTATATATCAATATCGACTTCAACTTGAAATTAGACTCAAAACTGCATTTTGTTGTTGTTCTTGTTGTTGTTATTGGCCGCTGTTATTATGTACAATTAGACACGGAGGAATTTAAGACAATTTGATTGAGGCTGTAATTGTTGGCTATGCTTGAAAACGTTTTCTTTGTGTTAATTTGTTTTTCGTTTAGCTTTGCACGCAAATCAAAAACAATTTTCAAATTTCAAGGCATCTAAACCAAGTTAAGCATACGATTAAAAAAACAAAATAGATAAAAAATTAAGTAATCTACATGTGTCTATATTTTACCACTTAAATTATTTATTCACTATTGTTCGTTCCTTTTTTCCAGAATTCGTTTTGTTCAAATTGAAATTGATTTACATTTAATTTTAAACTGTTTGCTTTATTCAAATTTTTGTGTGAATGTCAAAAAAAGGTGATTCTACTAATTATTCGTATTGCAAATGACGCTATTCGAAATCAAAGAAAACATAATGTATCGAATAACTAAAAATAATTACAATATTAACTTCCCACTGATTTTGTTCACATATTTAACTTGCTGTTTAAAAAAGGGCGCTTCTCAAATTCCTAACAGGCATTCCTACTCTGTTAAGGCAATTACAGTGGCGCTAAAAAATGCCAAACATACAAATACCAAAAGTATCAACAGCTGTTAATGCAAAATGTGCCAGTTAACATCATACTGTTAACAGTCTGTATAGAAATTTCCAACCGTGCGGGTGGTTACGCGAGTGCGCCGATCACAGCTCCAACCAGAAATTGGAAACTAACAATGAGATTTTCGCAAAATTACACTTAAAGCATAACAAAAACAGAGAGCCCAAACAACGCGTGCCAAGCAGTGGAAGTGCAAGGTGTGTGTAAAAGTTAAAGGCTTAACGCAAAATAAGCCACTGCCACTGTCCACGTTAGGGCAAAACGTAATCAAAGCTCTAAAAACTAAAAACAAGTGTAACACACACAATATAAATATACGAGGCGTGCGGCCTGCCAAACTCTCAGTGTATGTGTGTGTGCGTTTGAGTTTGTGTTTGTTTGGATTTGCGTTTGCTTTTGTGTGCGTGTGTGTGTGTGTGTGTGTGTGCGCGTCACCTAAATAAACCAATTGTAATTGGCAAGAAGAGAGCAGGCAGCTTACTTTTGCACTTGCAGTCACAAATCAGCTGTCCGAGATGTGTTCATGTGTGTATGTGCGCATTTATGCATTTGTGTGCGTGAGCAACTGTAGCGTTTGTTGTTGTTGTTGTTTTTTTCGGTTCGCCTTAGCATTTCGATGTTAAGTTTTTAAAGCCTGCGTTAGTTTCTTTTTCTTTCGCCTACATGCGGCGCTTATCTATTTTTTCAAAGCCAAAGCCACAAAACTCGTTTCGATATTAAGTTGCTGTTGCTGTTGTTGTTGTTGTACTGTTGTTATTGCTGCTGTATGAAGCGTCACGCCTTTTGTGTTTTTAATCGCGCAATTCATTCATGTGCCCCCACAGCAACAACAACAATAACAACAATAACAATAATAATAATAACAACAACAATCGTCTACTCAATTTGGGCCGCGCGTTTTCTATCCAAAATTTCTTTTATTTTCACACAAAAAAAATAAAAATAAAAAAGCGAAAGATAAAAAAAAGGAGGAAGCAAAATATCAAACAAAAGCAAAATCAAAAGAAATCAAATTTCAAACTTGTAATAGCGTCAGCAACAGCAACAGCAACAGTAACAGTAACAGTAACAACAGACAACAAAAGCAATAACAACACTAAATATTCACAGCAGTCACAGCAGCCGCAGCCCAAATTGCATTTGCTGCTGCTGTTGTTGTTGTTGTTGTTGCTGTTGTTGTTATTTGTGATTTGTGAATGTGTGTGATGTAAGTTTTATATTTTAAAAGTATTTTAAACACACACACGCTTTTTTCTTCGTATTTTGTTTAGCATTACGAAGACACTATGGTTTGGTTCCGTTGGTTGTTTTTGTTGTTTCTGTTAATGTGCCTCTTTCTTATGCGTTGCGTTTAACTTTTGATTTTTTTGCTGGTTGACCGGCTTTTTATCGCCGTATAAAATGTCGGTCAAACAATAACAACAACAAAATTGTATATAAAAAAAAAAAATTTACTCCAGTTTGAGTTATTTGAATTATGATATGGCAATTTTTTATATCTTATTTTTTTTTGATTTGTAAAGTGGTTGCCAAAAATGTCAATACAACAAGACATTGGCTATAAAACATTGTTAATTCACAGCGGCAAATGTGCTAAAGTAATTAGTGATTGTGTTGAATATGAACTAATTTCATAGACATTTCAAAAATCGAAAACTAAAAATGTGTATTGACCTAAAATGAGAAAAAATATGTAAATGAATCAAGAAATTTATATTTCTTGTAAACTCCGAGATACTACCATAAAAAATATTTGTAATTATATTCACTGCTGTGGGTGTTTCTCATTAATTATTAACATAATTATTGCGCTACCTATTCAAATCAGAGTTTCCGTCGCCCAATATAAGTTCAAGTAGTCCAAGTAGTCCAAATTGTTGTTCGTTTTGTCTTGGAGGTGTTTTGAACGGGTTTTAGCGGTTGCACGTTAGGTCTTTTCAAATTGATATGCGAAATTTATTTATGGTGGCAACCAGCAAAAATGTGTGAAATTAACTGTGTACAGTACAATTTTTCCACCTTAATTTGGGTATAGAAATCACATTTTAAATGTATTTGTATATATTATATTATATATTTGCTTATATTTATTGAAAAGAGATTGTTTATTTTTCAAATGTACCCCATTAATTTAGTTAATGGTTTTCACACTCAGTCATAATGTATAATTTTGTGAAATTGACAAATGTAATTTCAACAGATTGGGGTTTTTCTGTATTTCTTTCCTTAGAAACATCTGTTTTTATAATCTCAAACCAATCGGGATCGTATACATAACTTGATTTATTTGTTTACTATAAACATCGCACAGTGTTAAATATCATAAACAGATTTCAAAGCGCTTCTCCGTAAACAGATGTTTACCGCAACATTAGCAAGTTTTCCGTATGCTTCCTGCTGCATTCGCCGTAGATCCCCTCCGGCCGGACAGACAGAAGAAAACAAAAGTCAAGTGCTTCAATAACGGTCGCAAGTTGTCATTATAAATATAAATATTATGAATACGATTTGTTGTATTATGTTATAAAAGCACTATTTACGAGCATACATTTGCGTGCATATAATCTCTATAAATAAATATATCTATAAAAATAATATAAATTTATTTTATACTATAATTTTTATATATTTGTTTTATACTATAAAACGAGCCGCGACTTTAATTTAGTTTTGAACGCAACACTTATTTCTTGTCGGCTCATTCAGGCACATTTGTGAACAGATTGATTACTTTTTAATAAGCTGTTTAATATCTCGTCAAATAAAAAACATCCAACTAGTGTGTATACACATTAAACTGTCAAATAACATTTGTCGAATGTCTACAAACTTAATTTATGTATGGGCTTTTAAAAATAGCAGCTGACGTGCGCCTCCAAAACAATGATAAAAACATTTATGAAAGCAAGCAGTAATCAGCGACGGAACTTTTGTGGGAAGCTTCCATAAAATTGAAATTGAATCGATACTTTTCCTTGTGTCGACACTTAAAGACCCTATCATTAGCCAGATATTCTTATACAATCCGGCTTATGACTGCGAGTTTATAATTAAACTCATAAATTCATAAAAATATACATTTCGTCCTACAAGTTTTTAATTAATTCACTGTTTATTTTTGATTGCATGAATAAAATGTGTAGGAGCTGCCTTATCTATTTTGATATTTATGCTTTGTAATATTCTATTTCGAATGATCTTTTTGATTAATTGCTTAAGAAAAATCAATGTGTTCTTAAGAGCGTTTCCCGTGTGGCGCTTGAACCAATATTATTCGGCAAAAATGAACTAATTATTGGCCCAATAAATTAACTGATAAGCTGTCGCTAACTAGGCTACTTAACGCTGTCATCTAAGTGAACAGATAAGAAACAATGCAGTATAAGTCGCTTAGTGCGAATGATAAGCTTGACATAATTTCACTGTTTATGTTTGCTGAACGATAAAAAAACATTGTCAAAGCGGAAGTCAGAAGGGGAAACACTTTCATAGTCACAAGATAAGGCAAGCTGCTGTGCTACTGAATATTGCTAACGTATTATAAAACACACAAAATACTTTACCTGCAAATGTTAGTCATTTTAGCTCAAGTATTAATTAAATACTTGGAAAATCTATAATGAAAGATCAAACATCTCTATGACCCAAAGAGCAAAAGTTGCCTGGTTACTTTTAATAACAAATAACATATTTATGCATGAGTACACTCTTGCAGAGGTAAATAAATATATATATATATATGTACATTTATATTTATTTACACATTTTCACATAAATTGTTTGTGAAAAAACGTCATGGCAACAGCGACCAGAAAAAAATGTTCAAAGGGGCGCGTGCCATGTCAGCAGGGTTCAGCAGGTCAAATGCTGTGCAACTTTTTTTTTTGTGTTAAGCTGTTGAAAATGTTAACTGCCGCATTAATTTCAATTTTTGTTAAAGTTTTTCTGTCTCTTTTATCTTTGCATATTTGATATTTTTACGCTTTTAATGAGCGCTTTTGCAATGTTTGAAATTTTAGGACAAATGAAAATGGTTGCCTGATTTTTCTTTTCAATTTAAATAGATAAGTTTAATATATTGCTGAGCAGTTTATACTTAAACGTGTTTGGTGTTAAATTAAATAAATTATTGATAACAAGTACAAGTGAAATAAAATATTTTGTAGAATCTTGTGTATAACAAGTAATTTAAATGAACAAGCTAAATAATTAATATACTTTTTGTGCTAATGAAGTGAACTTTTCATTTGGTTCAATTAAAATTTTGAACTACGACAAACTTTGACTTCACGCTGCCCTTTGATAATGAATTTTAGTTTTACAAATTGTGTGCCATTAACAAAACTTAATCAAGCGAAGCGCAAAACCTTTGTTCAATTAACGACCCAGCTCACGTTCATCGATCAACGTCCAGTCGAACCCGACCCGAACAACTAAAACCAACCTAAGTGAACCCAATGGATACTTAACCTTGGCCCAAATTATTATCAGTCGAAGTTTAAGCATATTTGAAAACCGGACACAATGCAATTTACACTTGAATTAATCACAAAGTTACCCTAAAATGTAAGCCAAGTTAACTTTAGGAGACATCAAATCAGCTGTCAGCATGGGTTAACTCAAAACCATCCCCCGCTCTCTTTCTCCCTGTGCCTACCCTAGTGACAATCTGCTACTGGTCTGGTATTAGTTTACAGTTTTGTGGTTAACCGCAAATAAGCATTTTGTTTGGTTTTCGTTTCGTTTGATTTGCTTCTTGCCACTTTCCCAACTCAAACTCAAACTCAGCCATTTGTAAAAGTTAAGCTCGGACAGCGGGAGGAGCTTATTTTTTTTTTTTTTTTGGTTTGGTCAAGGAAATGGAAATGCCTGCTTAGTTGACTCGATGGTCCAGCTTGGAAAGTCATCAATACAATTTATGTTTTCTCATTTTCCATTTTCTATAAAATATATTTTTACACTTTGCTGCGTTCTTATGAAACTCCAATGTTTTTTTTTTTGTACTTATTTTTCAATGCGTAGTAAGTGTGACTTGATAAAATTCGTTGCTATGGACTACAGCTCCCCCAATATTAAATAAGCTGTCAGCAAGCATATCGAGGACAATGAACTGATAAATTTGTTATCGAAGTGTCTTATTAAATGTTATATCTTATTAGTTTGTGCATTCAGTGAAAACAGTCTCAAATTGTGATTACGTTTTCCATTTTTTTCTTGGCAAGTAATGGCATAATAATAACTTGCAATTAATTAACAAAAATGAAGATTCGAAAGAATGTTCGATTTACTTAGTTATTCAAAGCAAAATACATATTTAAATATTTTCAAAGATCCGCCCAAACTGTACCAAATAAATTCTAATTGAAGAGTTTCTCGCGCAGAGTCTTGCAATTAGTATATTTAAATTAATTGTCCTTATGTTCATATTAATAATGTTTTCAATTTGGCCCTTAGGGCTTTTGAGTTCTTTGCTGTATTCTTGGTAAGAAGCATGCAATTGTCATGGCAACGGCGAGGCAGGTAAAATGTTTTCTTTCCTTTCGTCTAACAATTAGGCACGCAACCATCCGTGGGCGGGTCGGCACAGGTGGGCCACTATTAAGGCGTGTGATGTGCCGACACCTTGTCGAGGGGGCGTGGCTGGGGGAGCACATCCATGTTGTCCGCATGACAAGCGCCTGTGGCGAGGGCATTCTGTTTATGGTTGATTGAATTGAAATGGGAAGCATGTGGCGTCTGCTCAACTAGAGCTCAACTTGGAAAGTGTAGTTAAGGGTGATTCATATGTTAGATTTTCAACGTAGCATTAAAAAGGCCGTTTTTTTTTTTTACCCAGTAATGTTATGGATAATTATACCATAACTAATAACAATTTGTTGTAATAAATGTACATTTCACTAGCTTACAAATGTTAATAATGTTTACAAAGTGCTGTGACAGAAATCGAAATATAAATATTTGTTAAATGACACTCAATAAAAATATAAAAGTAAAAATATAGAATACCAACCTTTTAACCATTAATTCTCTAATTTTTAGGCATCTTCACTTTAACTGTTTAGATTTGCATGCCAAATCATTGATTTGATTGCGTATATTTGACTCAGTTCACAAGCTCAAATTCATCTTATGTCGGCTCTTTGAGACGATTTCTATAAATAACAGATTAGCACATTTAAATTCAACTCAATCATGTCGTTAAGGCTTTCTTTATTCATCTTTAATTTGAGTATACTTTTGTGGCGACGATCGTTAATCAACAATCAAACGTTAAACGTTTCGGGCTGTGTGGTTCAATAACCAAAGCGCAAACTTAATTTATAAAAACAAAAACATGCTAAATGTTCCCCGTGCTGACTAATTTTCAGAGGTTTTAAAGCGAATTCCATTCTTCGCTCAGCCTAATGATTTTTATCTGCCCTCTGGGGCATCGAATTTTGGTTGTTACTGCCGCAGTGGCTACTGTAGAAACGCAATAACAAAATACGTATAATATAAATATTACATAGATATAGCAGATAAATCTGTTTTCAGTGCTCATTAGAATAGCCTCTGGGGTATATTATCTGGTTCCACTGACTGAGCCCTGCATTTCATTGAGTTATTTGAATTTGATTTTATTTTTTGTGCCATCATTCACATTTTTACTACTGTGTTTTGTAATTTGAAAATTCTATAATATATTCATTAAACTTATAATGTTTCTTTGGTTAGACAACTTTTTATTGAGCAACTTTTTTCATTTATATGTTATGTTATTTAGTTTTAGAAAATACTGTTCAACTTCACGTTGATAAACTGTTCTATAAATTATTTTTGTTACCATTGGCCTTATGTACTCACGGGAAAAATAACTATGCTCGTTTATCTAACTTTATTTTGGATTTGGTCGCATCGTTTTCTTGTTCTTCTCGCTGCCTGCTAACCCAGAACATCCTTCAAGCTCATTCCAACTTGCAAAATTCACACAAAAACCAACGAACCATGCAAATTCACTTCCGTTGTCTCGAGTGGGAAATGTGGACTTGTGGGCCACTCAGTTGGCCACATTGCACTTGTTCTGCATCAGTTGATTTAAGTTCGGGGCTCCACCCACACGGACTTGAGGCAGGCTAAGCCAGACCTTTGACTAATTATGTTTATGGCAAATTCGTCGATAAAGTTTTCTATGTCACGTAGATTGTTGAAAAGTCATTACAGTTATGGCGACTTTGTTTTGGGCAGAATTAGCAACTCGGTTTTGTTTTTAGTTTTGTCTTGTCAGTTGGCTTTTATGTTAATTACAATAGTTTTATTTTTCCACATTAAAATTCAGGGAAAGTAAAGGAAAAATTGTTTTACACTGATTAGCTATTCAAATCTCCGGGATTTTGGTAGGAACAAGTTTATAGAATGATTATCATGGCGGTCTGCTCCGATATTTTGTTATTAGCTTTTATTGCAATCCCTTTTAGTAGGAACGCGCTCTAATTAAAATGCAGTTAAAGTTACTATAAAATAAAAATAAAAATACATATGTTGAACTTTTCATTCGACCCTCCGATCGATTTCTGCATGATAAAGCCCCAAGCATTCATTATTCTTAAGAATCGAAACACTTAAAAGCTTAAGAGTTACTTGAAAATGTATTTGGAACACTTGAATATTTCCATTCAATTGAGCAATGCAATTAGCCGACGCAGTCTTATGGCTAATTACAACAGCATTTTTAAAGAGCCCATTTCGCCCAATTGCCAATTTGTTCTCGAAATGGCCTAATTGAAATTTTTTCTTATCATTTACAGACAACGCAGAGGGCACTAAAGTTGCGCATATCTCACCACAATTTGGATAAGGTAAGTCAACTAAGATACCCAAATTTAATTAAAAACTATTATCTTGTACAAAGTGGCTGATAAGCAGTATTTGCTTTCTTATTTGTAAACTTATCAACTATACTATAACCGATTCATCACAATCTTTTTGCTGTGTTTGGTTATAATTTACTGCTGCTTTCTTACTGTCTAGGTCTCTTTTTTTGTTTGGTTTATTCTGATATATATTTTGAATCAGATCGGCATCGTTCGTACGCATGAGATTAACAATATTCTATGTAAATCTAGAAAAACAAATTAAACTTTTAAGCTGGCAAACACAATTATTACATTGACAGCCTAAGCCCATTGGGCAAGATGGTATATAATGGTTTTGTATGTAACAGGCAGAAAGCAGAACTATGACTTTATAAAGTATATATATTCTTGATCAAGAACATTCTCTATTCGCAATAAAACTTGATTATATTTAATAGCTGGATTCAGGGTATATCATAGCATTCTTCTTAGTTTTATAACTTTTATAAATCAGAAAATATGCTGGTTTTACTGTAATGGATGATGTTAGTTTGAGGCTGAATACGTAAATAGAACAAAGCATTTAAGCTGCTCCGAGTTCGTCTAAGTGCCGACTTGAGCATTTATCTTGCAAGTTATCTATCACTCTTAGTATCTATTAATCAGCGACAATTGGCTGCCGCTTATTGGCACATTGATTAGCCACAGGCTGTCACAGGGTCTGTTCGATAACAAGAACAAAACCTTTTTCTAGTAGTCAACAAGCTCCCAGTTCAAGCACTTAGCGGGCACAAAAAATTGTAGTCTTCTTTTAGGATACGCGGGTACAATTAATCTTGCTGGCACTTTGGTAACAACAACAATAGCAAAAAGTGGCAACAAGATGGGCAACCACATCTGCGTGCTTTGTTGTAATTAATATGCAAATGAACAAGTCTGGGGCCGGGCCCGAGACAAAGCGCAGCGCCGACGTCAAAAACATTTGCACAAATCATCGGTTAAAGTGTCAGAGAGTTAGGGAGACAAGTGAACCAAGTGAAGCTAATTGTTATGCAAACGGGCACACTAAGAAGTTCCAGACAGTGGTTGTTGTTGCTGTTGTTGCTGTTGGTTTTTTAAATGTTGTTTCTCTTATAGTTGTTGTAATTGAAGTGCTTGGACTGTTGTGAACTTAGAGGACTGGTTAAAGTCCACTCTGAAGTAAACGATGCTAAATAGGCTGAGTACAGAAAATGTAATTATAAAACGTTAGCTATTTGCCTGCACTGGGCTAAAGACACGTGCTAGTTGCCGCCAGTTTCTGCTCTTTTTTTTTTCCTTGTTTTTCTTGTTTTTGATGTTGTTTTTTTTTTTTTGGCACTCATCCAAATGTCATCGATGTAGTCTGTACGAGCCTGTCCAAGGCACAGCAGTTGAACAGTAGCACCAACAGTAGCGGAGCCACTCAAACTTGACATCGGCACAGGAACTAACTGAGTGTGGGGCACTTCGTGTTCTCAGGCACAAGGCCAAGAAGCAGCCACAAGCATCTCTAGAATAGCACTCACTCATACACACACTTGTCCTCTCACTCTGACAGGCTCTTGCTGTCTCTTTCCCATGATTGCCTTGGCCAAGTTTGAGGCTAAGGCTGAGCATCCTTTTAAATGAATTAGTGCAAAATACATTATAGTTTTCAGCTGCATGAGCGTTTTTCAGTAAGTTGATTGCTTAAAAGCTTCCACTAACACACTCACACACACTCACACACACACATCTTTATATTCATATGTATTTATCGATAGCAGGCAAATGCTTTGTGGCATTTCGAATCGATAGTTTTGTGTTTGGATTTGAATTGGATTGTGGTTTTTCTTGAAGACAATACAAATTGATATTGCATATCTTAAGAGTTTATGCAAATTTCCCAAGCTTTCAAGTCTATCTGTATTATTATACCATAAAATCAGTGCAAAAAGAGCTGTGTATATTCAGAATAATATTGTTTAATTTACTGAATCCATTTGAATTTATAATTCGATGTCATTTTTATTGTGTAATTTTTATATTTAATAATCCTAAAATAAGTGCAAAAGGAGTTGTAGATTTTTTGTTGCAGAATAATATTTAATGTAATAGTTTTACTGATTCTCTTTGTATCTATAGTTTGTTGAATTTTTTATCACTCGGAATCATTTTATTTTGTAATTGTGCACTTTTTTCATGACTGCAAACTGATTTTAGTTGAATTACATTTGCAAAGTATAGCCAGCAGCCGCGAAAATTGTTTTTTAAGCGAAATTGAAAATATGTATGAATGGATTTGGTAAAGTAGATAAGTCCAAGCAACTGAGTGCTTTTGAATTTCCCGAATTGGCTGTTAAGCAACACAAAATGTGCCAGCATATTTTGGAGTTACGCGAAGCGAAACTAAGCAGAAATTGCTGCTCAACAAAACAGGAACAAAACGCATATCGCTTATATTGTAGTCCGCATTTGATGCAGCTTATATTGTGTGTGTTTGGCCACAAACTCATTAAAACTTTAACAAAGCTTACCATTCCTAAAGGAAAAAAATAAAAAAGTTTGACAGATGGCCACACGTTCGGACAGTCAGTTAGTCAGCTAGGCATCCATTTTGGTCGGAATACAAATAGAACTGGGCGCCTGGGCTTGAGGAAGACGAAAGGGCGTGAAACTGTGCAGACAAATAAAAGTGAAAACTGAAAAGCGGAAAGTGAGAGATGCTCCTGCACTGTGCGACAACGCGAAAATGAAAATTAATGTATATATTTGTTAGTTGCGAGTGTGCAGTTTTTTGTTTCCTGGGTGGCCAAAATCGTTAAGACAACTGCAGTCCTGCGAGAGAAAAAGAAAAGAAAAACAAAAAGAAAATGAAAAACAAACTTTTCATAAGCTTTTTCATCTGTGCTGCGCAGGAAAAGTTGTTTAGCCCGTTGTTATTGCTGTTGTTGTTTTAATTTATGCCCATGGGGGACGCCAGTCGCCGACAAATACATATACAGGCTACCAAAACTTCTGGCATGCACTGTAGGTGCGGATAAAGCCGCTCAAAAGAATTAGCATGCAACGAGCAGGGAGTCCTTGACCAAAATTCGTACATTCATAAACTTAGAAATGGGGACGTTGTGCATTGTTTTTGGTTTCCTAAAAAATCAAAACGCGTTGCGACAAAAAACACAATAATAATTCTTAATATATATATAAACACTCAAGGAGTATACATTGGACAAAACCCTTCAAGTTAGTCTATAAGCATTAAGGCAAAGAACAAACTAAAGATTAACAACCGAATATACTAAAATTAAACTCTCTTAATATTGTTAGGGAAAATACAAAGTTTTTTTAATATTTTCTGTTTTATAGTGAATAGAAGCTGGTATCATAAGTGCTTAAGTCATTAAGTACTGTAACTAAAACAAAAAATTGCTTAGGCTATACAATAAACTAATAAGTAATTTTATTCAAGTCTTGTTTTGTGTCTGGTATAGAAAAAGAAATATGAAAATCCCGAAAATTTAGTCCAATATTTCACACCATTTATTAAAAAAATGAAAATAGGACAGAAAGGCTCACGTTAAACAATACAAATATGTCAACAATTAATGCATTTAGAACATAATATAGAAAACATATATTCTTGAAAAGAAAATATTTTGCTCTTATGAACAAAGCTGGTCTATTAATATTGGGTAACTTCCACAAATCTATTAGCATTTCCACCATCTTTTGTTAAGGTCGGCTTAGGTTCTTTTTTCTCCTTATTTATATTGTTGTAGTGGATTCTGGAATACTTCCGCTTAATCATTTCGTCGTTTTGCGTGTTTGACTTCCATGTTACCAAAGTTGTATTTGCTTTTTGGCCAAGTCACTTGTCCAGAGTTTCCATGTCCATTTTCTTTGGCCCCAGCCGCATTGTGTTCGTTTTCCTTTGGTTGCCCATTGTTATTATTGTAGTTTTGTTTGATTGTGTTTTGTTCATTTCAGATGTGTTTGATTCTTTTCACTTTTTTCGGTTGCTTTCAACGTTTTAGTAATTGGAGGTTTTTTTTTTTTCTGTTTCTGAGGTTTTCCTTTCTTACTGATTGGAAATTGAAAAGTTTTTTCCGCTCTTAATGTTGTGTTAAATAGGATGCGGACTAATGGTTCTAAAACCGATCAGTGCACAAGAAGACCAATGAATTTGAAATTTGCTTGGCAAAATGGTACTTTTCTATGGACAAAAGAGTTCTTCTCTGTGAGCGAATACAAAATAAAGTAATGTGCAGAGAATGAAGAAAGTTATTTAAGAATCTATTAAAAATATTTAAGAATATCCTAATAATTTTCAAATCATTTTGGAATATATTTTAAAAATACACTTCACTTTAAATATGCACTTCAAAGTTATTTTTACCCAGAAACTTATTTAAAGGCAAAAGGCTAAAGAAAACAAACTGGAGAATATTTGTAAATTTATAGCTACTTTAGCTAACTTTCAAGATAACCAACATTTTCTGAAGTATTTCACAACACCTTTCACCCTTACATGATCCACACAGCAAGCCTCATTATCATACGTGTAAGCACACAATACTTCAAACTTGGCTTGTTGGCGCAGGGGGATGTATTTTCGTACCTGCTGACAGTCAGTGCAAATATTTACGACATTTACTTTTAACGTAAATCAGGACATTCTGCTCAGTCCACAGCTGCTCGACGCCACGCACACACACACACACACACACATGCATACGCAGGCAAGCAAACTGAGCTACACATAATATCATTAAACAAAATTGAGCACATTAATAAATATGAATTATGATTGTTAATAAAAATAATGGTCACAACGGCAGAGTGACCGAAAAGTGATGGCCAAAAACCAAAAGCCGTAAATGAGAGCAAAACTCCAGAGAGACATGTTGACACTGCAGGAATTGCATTTGAAGGCTGGGCGCTGCCACGCCCATCGCATTTATTGATGTTGGCTATAGCATATATGGCAATATTTTGCGGCCACT